TCATCTATGTATAATGATGACACACTGAAAATTTCATATATGTATGACAAAAACAATTTGACTTATTAAAACTCAAAAATCAGCTAAAATTCTCACTTTTTGTGTTGCGCAAAAGTGATGACTCCACTTCAGTATTATATTCGTTCATATATTATAACTCATAAGGCACAAAATTTATATCATTTAACAAAATAGAGTTATCTAATCGTTGCCACATGTTCTATTCAAATGCTATAATAAAGCTAGAAGTATGTATAAAAGAAATTAAGCAAACAAAACAAAAAAAAGAAACAGTTTTTCACAGACGATTGAGTATTTCTCATTTAATTAATTCAGTTCTCACTTCGCGAGAAGGCAAAAATACATAAAAACTCAAAATATCTATATTTAAAAATTAAAAGTAAATCTGAAACGCTTATTTACTCGAAAAAATTCCAGAAAGGATTAAGCATGATTTAAATAATAAATGAAGGCGTTATCTTTGATGTTGCGAAGCTAAGTTTCTCTAGATTGGCAACAATCCACTAGTCTCTACTCCTGTTTCAAATGTAAACAATCAATGGCCGCCATGGCAAAAAAAAATTAGGTTTAGCGGCACTTAAAAACAAACTTTAAAATTGTTGATAATTCTAAAATAATTGCATACAGTTTTACTAAAGGCATAAAAAAACCTTAACCGGAAGATTAAAAACAACATAATTCAATCATTTTTAAAGCAAGAAATGTACAATTTACAAACATATAAGAATAAAGAAACTGAGATCACTGAGCCGGGTAACAGAGTAGCTATATATATATAAATATATTTATATACGTTTGGTGCGGCCGATTGCAACCAAAATACGAGGTGCACATATACATGTTATAGCAGTCCTATATACAAAATTTCAACGTTCTTGAGGCTACTCGTTTTTGAGTTATGCGAGATACGTACGTACGCACGTACGTACATACGTTCGTACAGACGCCACGAAAAATTCTCTTAGAATTAATTTTAAAGCAGTTTTATAATTTTTTTGAAGGAAAAGAGTATTTTATTCTGTCTTTACGTACAGATATCACGCAAAAACATCGTTAAATTGCATTCGATAGCGGTCAAAATGGATATTTTCGTTGAAATATGCTGCCTGAAACTTTTCGCGATTACAATACTTCCTTTTTACTTCGTACAAGGAAGTAAAAATATATAAACATATATACAATACAAAGTCCGAAATTCGGATATTCAATATCCGGACCTCATCTCGCCTCCGACTGATCAAAAGGATTTAAATTAGACTTTAATCCTGATAAAACCAGGGTTATGATTATTGAAAAGAAAAACATCTGTTATGATGCATTTCAGTTATCTCTCGACGGCACCCCTTTGACTGTGGTAAAGCAAATGAAATATCTTGGGGTTTTTCTCAACTGTAAATTTTCTTGGAAGCAACACTTAACTTATGTATCAGAGAAATGTGATAAATTACAGCGTGGATTAAGTCGTATTGCACGCAACACATACAGTATTAATCACAACGTTCATTCGCTCATCTATAAACAAGGAATTGCATCCTTCATTATGCATGGCTCTAAAGTCTGGGGTATATCGCTCAAGAAGAAGATAAATTTTAGATATTTACGACGCGCTCAAAGGTGTATACTTCTGCGGGTCATATGTGGATATTACCGTTAGCTATGAATCTGTTTATGCAATTTCTGGCTTTCCTCCAATTGACATTGCCATTCTTCATGCTATTGCTTATAAGGAAAATATTTCTGCTTCTGCTGTGTCTCAGTATGATTGTATTTTACCTCCATCTGATCTTCCTCATCCTTCAGAAAGAAATGCTGTTAATTTTATTCAGTTTAGCAATAAAATCGTAGATGATTCGCCTGTAACTTGCTATACTGATGGCAGCACAATTGATGACAAGGTTGGTCTCGCATTTGTTGTCTTCAAAAATGGTCTTGAATTTGAGCACTTTCAATTTAGAATCAGAGATGAATGTACCGATTTTATAGCTGAACTTTTGTGCTTAAACTTCGCCATCAAATGGGTCTCTGAACAAAATAGTGCTGTTTCAGACTATCTCATTTGTACTGATTCCCTTTCATCCTTGGAGATGTTAAAATGTATTTCTTCTTCTAATAATATCATTATAGAGATTCAAAAAGAACTGAAAAACCTAAAAGATAAAAATATTTCGGTTGCATTTTCATTTGTTCGTGGTTATACAGGTGTTGTTGGGAACGAACGAGCCGATTTCCTTGCTAAGGCTGCGACTAAGCGGGAAATTGACACTTTTGTCAATATCCCCAATTCCTTTTATAAGAAGGTCATGTATGAAAGTATTGTGGAGAGTCGTGGAACCACGAATTCATTAATTCAAATAAAGGGAGCTTAACAAAGAGATTTTCCCCTTCTATCAAGATGAGATTGTCATGTCATCACTTCTTCATAGACTATAAATTAACCCAATTTCTTACTGGCCATGGAAATTTCAAAGGTTATTTGTATAGATTTAAGTTGAGCTCCGAGTCTGTCTGTGATTGTAGCTTTGGTGGAGAGGAGAATATTGAATATGTGCTTCTTCTGTCCTAAATATAAGAACGAAAGAAAAATCTTGAAACTGGAACTGAAAAACTTTAATATTAACTGGCCTCCAGAATTTTATCAATTTATTTCCGAGAAAAGCGCTTTTAACACTTTTTGTCAATTTATTGTGAAACTTTGTAATCATCCTTAATTTTATTTCAGTTTTTTTCTTCTGTTTATTTTGTATTGTGTTTCATACTTACTTCTGCAAGCCCCATGTGATACTATGTGGTACATGGGGAACTTATTGTGTTTCTTTAATTAAAAAAAAATATCCGGACCTCCGTATCAATGCCAAAATAAATAAATAAACCAACAAAATAATAAAAATATTCCTCCTCCTCTTAGAGTCTAGGAATTGAGAATATAATAACAAGAAAGAGGCATGCCATAAATCTGAATTTTCTCAAGGCTAAGAGATTCCTGCATATTATTTTCAAACATTATCATCTGATGGCTAGGGAGTCGCTTCATGGCTAAGCCGCAAAAACTTATAATGTATTTCAGTCATGTCTTTGGTAGTTTATTTCACAGAGATTAGAAAGTTCAGTGGGGGCGGGGCTACCACAATGGGTGCAAACGAACTAGCTCATATTACGAATTTACGACTGACAGATATCACGCATATTTGGGAAGAAAGAATTGCTTAATCTTGCAACTGTCGGGGGCTTAAAAATATCGCAGAAATACTTCTGCAGCAAGCCCGTAAGGCAGGATTTGATCCTGCGTCGAACCTGGTGTACGGATATTCAGCGATCCTACCCTGTCGGTGAAAGTGAGCCATGATTTATCGTGAAATGGCCTTAAATGTGCAAGGAAAACGAAGATTGCAGGTCATCTCAATTATCTTCAGAAAAAGATTAAATTCAGAAGGCAACATAAAGTTTAAAGCTAGGTTGGTCATATAAGAACAGAAAACGGGCTGGCTGCATGGGCGTTTTCGTGGTTTTCCCCATGTGTAACGTATATACGAGCCAGTTTCCCTTAGAAAGTCTTCCACGAAGGCATCCCTCCTCTTAGGCAGATTGCACTTGAGGCTTTGACATAATCACACATACACATATAAGAACAGTCATGCAAATTCGAGATAATTAAACGTGTTATTTTAGTGAACACACAAATGGTAAAAAATAATTTATTGATAGTATGACTAGAAGATCCATCTGGCCACAGGATTACCTTCAACTGAAGTGCAATTCGAAATAAGGTCCTAACTCTACTTAAATGCTTACATACTACGAAAGCTAAAGCCGCTGGAGACCAAAACGTTTTGGGTCTCGTACAGGTTGGTTATCAGACTTCAGGAAAATATATGTTTGCGCAACATAAAAGTACAAGCCGCCATAGTTTTCAGAGATGATTATTCTGATCATGCAACCGTGTTCACTAGTAAAATTACACAGGCCAGTAGTAAACCTATTACCATTTAATGGGTGCTCAGGTTATTTAACACAAACATATTAACAACAAAACATACACATGTATGTGTACCTAATCAAGTATATACGTGGGTTAATTAAGTATGTATGTTTTACAGATTTAATGCTTAAATTATGTATAACAAAAATACAAGTAAGTTTTCGATGCAATAGAAAAACAAAAATTCATCGACTCGTTTTATATTAAGATTAGGCTGGAGCAGACCTCACGGTATCCCAAAGAATGTCTGTAATTATACAAGATTATAACAATAAAATTATTACATGTAGACAATAGAAATGCAGTTAATGTTTTCGGTGCATGATGAATATGCACTTCACACTAAAATATTTGAGTACCCGTACGAAAATTCCTTATTGGAGGCATTTAAATAATAATTAAGATAATTAATTTCCAAAATCTAAATCCGTGGTGACAAACAGTCTGATGGCTTAAAAATTTTAAAAATCATTGATTTGTTTTCGAGAGTGCAATTTAAAAAGAAACAAGTAATATAAAAAAAATTTAAGTCAATTCCTACTTAGGTCAACAAAGAAAAATTTAAAAATAAAGAATAAATAAATAAATAAATAAAAATACAAAAAAATGTTAAAATAAAATTAAAAAAAAATTTTAATATGTGAAAAAACTGTATTAACATCAAGTGTCATCCACTACAAGTTTAAAAAATGTATTTGAACTTGAGTTGATAAATAAAAATTATTTATTAATGATTGAAAATTAATTAAATAAAAATTTTTTCTAAATTCCTACTTAGGACAAAAAAAAGTTTTAAAAATACAATAAATAAATAAATAAATTAAAAATTTTTAACATGTGAAAAAACTGTATTTACATCAAGTGTCATCAGGTACAAATTCAGCTTGAGTGGATGAATAAAAATTATTTTATTAATGATTGAAAATTCGAACAAGATACAGGGAGAGTGTGAGCTAACAGTAGGAATTTAAAAAAGAATCTCGCTTTAGAGCAATAGTCTTACCAGTATGTCCGGTTAGGGACTGAAAAGGCATTGCAGTTTCGCAGTCAGTGATGTAAATTTTGTTGTCGCCTGATCCACCACTGATTAGAATATTAGAACGATTACTAATGTCTTCCATGAAGCACATGTCTCGCACTGTGCCTCCATGCATAGTTAGAGGATGGGCAATATCTGAAATATTAAAAATTAATATTAGTCATTTTTATCACGGCAAATAAAATTAAACACAAAAGCTAATGAAAAGAATTGCAAAGAATATTCCACAAAACAGAACACTGTTATTTGCCAGTATTTTATATAGTCATTTTGATTTAATTAAAGCAAAACCTGAAAATGACAAATATGCATTTAAATAGCATGGGCGCTATTAATAACCATATAGCAAGTCAGTAACTAAACAAGCAACTTAAACAGTAAGTTAATAACTAAACGAACATGTTAATAACTAAACAGTCAGTTTAATAACTAAACAACAAGCTAATAACAAGTTAATAAGTAAACAGCAAATAGAGTTACAAAATATAATTCGATAGTCTAAAATCAAAGTAAGGCTTTAAAGGAGATTTTTAAAAAGAAATATAATAAGTACAACAGTGGACACCTGAAAATAATAAACCTAATTTAACTGGCACACTAGTCGAAAAAAGTTCGCTATCCTTGTCTATCACGTATAAAAGTGTTGCCGATTCGTCTGAATTTTACGGCAGTTATTGATTTCTAGACTAGAATATATTACATGTGGTAAGACCCGCCTAACGCTAGAGGGCGCTGAGAGCGCCATTGAGAGTGTGTTGAGTCTCGATGCAGTTGCTCGATGGAATGTGTGACGCAGCTGTGAAATTTCGAGATATTTTATATTTAATTAAATCAATTTTTATTTTATTGATTGGTGATTATTGAATTTGATTTATTGATATGAGTGATAAGTTTTGCTGAACCACCACACTTTCGACAAACTTGGATTACCACTAAATCTCAAAACCACCGATGCGCAACATGTTCAAAACAGTAGATTACAAGTAGTATTGCAATATTTCTTAAGAGAAAACACTAAAAAAATATTAAAAAAACAAATAAATAAACGAGTAAAAGTAATTACTAAGTAAGTTGGAAATAATCAACAAACACGTTTTAGCAGTAAAATAAAAAACACCACAGCAGAGTAATAAGAATATGAATTACACATAAAAGTAATTACTTCATTACTGCAAACATTTTTCGATCAGTGCGGCAGATTATTTCATTTATATTTAGTAATTCAATGAATTTCAACATTACTGATTGCCAACAGTAGTTTTTGTTCCATAACAAAAAAATAGGAATTAATCTTGTACTAAGAAAAATTAGAAGTAAAAGACACGTTAGAGACCTTCTAGCTGACATGTGGCTGGACTGAATTTCATTAACTTCACTGTCTTGTCATTGGAACCAGTGGCTAGTAAATCTCCGGTAGCGTTCCAGGCCATGCAGTAAATGGATCCTTTATGGTGCTTCTGCCTCTTGTACAGAACTGTGGGCTCCCGAGGTTCATGATCAGGCCTGAAACAAATCAAAGTACATTGGTAACATAATTGAAAAATATAATCTTCCGTGTAAAATATTTGTGGCTCATATATTAAAAAAAACATTTGAAGTATTTATTTCCTGTTAAACTATATGAGTCAGCTTGTTTCTGAAATGCAAATAGTAAATTAAAAGCTGGTAAAGGAAAAGACTGACTGTCCATTGTTTTTGTTGTATTAGCGTAGTCAACTCCTTATATAGAGTAGCACTGGGGATAACATCCATGGTTAATTCAAAATCAGTGTTAATCCGACAGCAGTAAAATACAAGAAAGAGAAATAAACCATACTGTAATTAAAAGAACTACTATTCAGAATTGTTTATATTTTCAACATGATCCGAAAAATAAGTCCATTTGGTTACATAAATTTAAGTGATCCAAATAAAAAGAACGCTGATAAATAAAAACTAACTTATGGAATTAAGAAATGATATGCGCAACTGAGCTTGAACAACGCTACTGAGTTCAAAATCGCCTATTAAAGTCGGTTAAGCGCACTTTGTTTTTTACTGTAATACACTACCCGACACAACACCAAGAAGAAGTGGCCAGAAGGAGATGAAACTTGGCAAACAGAGAGAGACAGCAACGAATGATAAGTGATATTTATTTCGAAATGATATGCATAATACAGAGCGAGATGTAACGGGGTTATGGCATATGCAACGGGGGACGTGGACCATCCCTTTACCATTGTGGTTAATCGGTGTAGCGCCACGTCCACCTATATCTAAAATCAGGCAAACGTCACACAGACGTCTCGCTCCTGACGCCGAAACCCAGCCCCGAATGCATTACCCTGCTAGCCTGCCACCCCAAGCAGTCACTGGGAATTTATTTATAACATAAATGCTTAAACGTAAAACATAAATGACATGGCTAAACAGGAGCTTCAGTCTTACTAGAAGCTTTAATCTCGTTAAGAGATATATACATACACACTGCACAATTACAGACTACATACGTAGAATAGTTAGTGTACATGATGTTCTATACAAAATATTAATTACAGAGTGATAAATACAAAGTCAATACTAAATACAAATTAAGTACATAAGATGAGATACTACTTACGAGCTAGGATAATTACATATTTGTGTTCACCAATCAGTACTTGGAGGTTGCTCACTTCTAGGTAGGCTAGGATGGTAATACACATTGCCACACAATTATAGAATACTTGCACAGGGCAGTTGGTGTGCGTGAAATACAATATAACAGAATAAATACAGAAGAATAAAGACTGGACGGCGATACACGAAGCAACACCTCTACAGATTCAATGAGGCTACGGATGGTGTCCTGAGGAATAGCTCTCCATTTCCTGCCAACCATTTGCCATAGTTCATCTTCTGGACGCGGCAATCTCAGGGTTTGCACATGGTGTCCATTCACATCCCAAATGTGTTCGATTAGTGAGATATCAGGAGAGAATGTGGCCAGGGCATGATGGCGGATGCCAGCAGTGTGTGGTGGGGCGTTATTCTGTTAATAAAGGCATTGGGCACTCCTTGAAGGTAGAGAAATTTAACCGGCCTGAGCACATCATCCACGTATAGTTGGGCCGTCAGTGTGCCCTGAATACGAATTGGAGGTGACGTGGAATCAGATGCAATTGCGCCCCAAACCATGATATCGCGTTGTCGCGCGGTAGGGAGTTCCGCAATTGCTGTCGGATTGGACATGTATTTCACATCGACGCCACACTCGTACGCGACAACTATCATTGAAGAAACAGAAGCGTGACTCATCTGAGAACACGATCCTGGGCCATTCCGTCGTCCACATCGCTCGAGCCCGGCACCATTTTTGATGTAGGCATCTATGATGTGGGGTCAATGGCAGTCTTCTTAATAGACGCCACGAGTGGAGGCCACTAACCACCAATCGACGTAAATGGTTGTGTTCGATATAGGAACATCCAGAGTGTCTTGAACATGCTGCAGAATGAAGGTAGGAGTGGCTTGCGAGTGCGCCACCGCTAGTCGGCGGATGCGTTCCATCCAAGCGTGCTCACATGACTCTGGCTGCAACGATAACCCTCGAACTTGCCATATTTCATTGTTCCGACCATCGTCGCCACAGCCGGTGCACTGTAAACACGTCAACTGCCCTTTTCAGTCCAATTACCATGCTCCTCGTAAAATGATCTGTCTGATGGAACTGCTTCCGTTGACGATAGCTTAGCATTCCATTATATTATGAACAGTTCATATTTATTATTATTATTTTTCTTTTGCATTTTGCTGATTAATATTCTGTCTGAGTATCTATTCTATTACACGCGTCCTCTGAGACAAGGAAAGATTTTCTACAAGTTTCATAATTTTCGGACCAGTCCTTCTTGGTGTTGCATTTTCAATGTCGTTAGTGTACATATGTGTTCCGTATTATGTAGAACCCTCTTTTTCAATACAAACTATTATACAGTACGGATTATGTCCAATTGAATTACATACACTTGCGGATAAAACAATTAGAACCCTCTGTTTTTTATTGTACAATGTTTTACATATTCCTGGTTATGCAAAATTGCATTACGTACTCTTGTGCGTAAAGCGGTTAGAACTCTGTGCTTTTAATTGTACAATATTTAAATATTCCAGATTATGTACAGTTAAATTAGATACTGTTGCGGATAAAAAAGAGATAGAACCCTCCCTGTTTCATTGTGCAACGTTTATATGTTCCTAATAATGTACAATTGTGCACTGCTGAGGATAAAAAAAAAACTTCCCAAATACTGCAACATTATTTGATATGATTGTTTATCCAACGCTTGTTTCCTTTCGTTTGTGTATTTTCGTAGACACTTTTAGTTAATGCTGTTTTTTGTAATAGCAATTACTACACCTTTTCGCAATAAACAAACTTAAACTTTTTCTAGGGAGAGCTCCGTTAATTCGGCCCCAGTTAAAGAAGAATTGGTTATAATACATAGCTAGTTTAGAAATATGGTTATCTATTATAAAATAGATAACCACATTTTGAGAGTAAGACATCGTCTAATACAGTCAAATTCTGCTGTAATACTGAACATAAAGTGAAGCCTGAGAAGATTATTGTAATATATGACGTGTTCAGCATGCAGAATATTTTGATTATTAACTATTTAAGAACATTTGATAAATAAAACAGTTTAGTTTTAGATTTATATCTACTGCAACGCATGTGCAAAACTCTTCCTTATTCATGAATTGTTTATAATTTTTAATTATGTTTTGATAAACAAATATTATTCACCTTTATTCATTATTTTCATTAAACCAAACTTTGTATTGTTAGGTAACAATTAATGGCCAAATGCCCTATATTTATTGTCAGTTATTTAAATTTCTATATCTGTTTCTTATACTAGCTTCGAAAAGTTGAGTCACTTTGATATTATTCCTGTTCTGACCTGTGCAACAATCAGACTAAGGAATAATCCTTTTATGAGACTTTACATATCCCAGCACATCTTTTCTCAAGCAAGATGCAAGTTCTTATGACCCTCCGATTCCGAGAGTTTCATATCACGTTTACATAAAACCCGTTGAATCATTAAAGGGATATATAACAAGATCTGTAAACATAGAAGTTTCACTTATAATATGCAAGATTTTATAATCTTTAATGTGCAAGATGCATGTTAATTTTTACATACAAGATATTTTTATATGCAAAATAATTTTATATGCAAGATAATTTTTATATGCCAGATAATATTTCTATGCAAGATAGGTATAATTATCATTTATTTTTTTTTTTTGCAAGATGTATATAATATTTTAGAATGGTATATAAGCCGTCAATTTTGGTAATGGGAACATTTTGTGCAAGTTAGAAGTGCAAATATAAAAGGCACTTGCAAAGCCAGATTCAGCATCGTGATGCAGTTTCTTTCTGGCTTATGTTCCTCCGGATTGTTCCTCCGAGTATTAAGATTAGGGGCATAGCATCGGTCAAATAATTCCCCTAATTTTACTATGAACAGTTCATATTTATTATTATTATTTCTTTTTTGCAAATTAATATTCTGTCTGAGTATTTATTTGTTTCTTATTGTATTTGTACAGCAAATTATTAAATTGGTTTAATTCCATTGCTGCTTTGAAGCATATTTTTTCCTCATAGTTTTAAAGTTATCAAAATAGCAGTGGATAAACATGCTCACATTAAACGGCGCCTACTATATGTGAATTTTATACTAGACAAACAGCAGAACAAGTTTTTACCAACCTGATATCTGTGCAGTTTGGGTAAGCGCATATTCTGAGTGTTTTAGTATTGGAACCAACAGCATAGAACTTGCCCGAAGGATGAAACTCGACAGCCCGGATAGCTTGCTCATCCTCCAGCTGTGTCACAGCAACAAAATTGCTTTTCGGTTCCGAACTGTCACTGCTACCTGGGGTTTTAGTGGTGCTGTTCAGCTGTAAAGAATAAAATTATCTGGTAAATAAACAGGAATAGTTTTCAAATGAACGAGTTATTGATTACATGATTTTATTATCTAGCTTCATTCTAAGCTAAAATAAATAGTGTAAAATATCATTTGATAATAACATCCGCTTTCAGAAGAAGAAAAAAAAAACACTTTTCAAAATGGCAATACGAGAATAATTCAAAATATTGCACTCTGAATATAATTGTTCCAGACAAAATTTAAAGATCTATCTTGCGAAAGATTGGTCCATTGCCTCCTTTGAGTCAGACACGGACCAGTGGCAGCCTATTCAAATCATATTTACTCATGCAGTCACTATGAAATATTCTTTGAATTATTTTTTCATATACATGCAGTCTTAATAAAACATACTGTATATTATTACAGTCGCTCAAATTTAATAATATATTTTGAATATTATTTGCTTCTAATCGTACAATATTTAGAAAAAATCCTGTAATTTATTTATTTGTAGTGGTGAAGTCTTTGTGAAACATCATCTATTTAATTTAAAAAAATACAGATACATACGTTAGCTTGATAAAACTCGTTGCTGTTACAAGTACTCCTGATCTGAACCTCAATCAGATTAATTCCATGCAATATTAGTTCAGCCAGAGACAAGGAACCTGTTGTTTGCATAGGCTTTGGGCACCTTGTAGCAGCAAGTATGAGTCTGCTTAGTTCTGTCCCACTTTTGATGGAGAAACCTCTTAGGGACGGAATCGAGGAACTCCTACCTCTCTTTTCCCATAACCAGCCTTTCGAGGGGGCTTTCGGATCGATAGTATTAAGTGGCCCTATTTATAAATATTCCTGTCTTATCTAGGAATCGTACCTAGCCCGAACCTCTGGCAGCCGACTTCTCTATCTTCCTGCTAACAAGATGAGTGATAAAAAAAAAAAAAAAAAAAAAAAAAAAAAAAAAAAAAAAAAAAAAAAAGCCTTTTAGTATCAATTGCGTGTGGGTTTCTCAATGTGTAACGTGAATACGAGCCAATTTCCATTAAAAGTCCTTCACCGACCATCCATCCCTATAGTGGATACCACTGCTTGCATAGTCATAAGCAAATAATAATAATAATGAGGCATTAAAATTTCTATAATTTGCGCTTAAGACGTTTACGATTTTATGACTTCTTATTGCAATGGCTTTCAAATTGTATCCCTGAGCGATAACTACAAATCTACCGAACTCTACCATAAACCTTCCTCAAATCTCAGGATTTTGCAATTTTTATCGCTATTTTAGAAATTACCGAGGCAGTTAGAAATACACTGAAGAGAAATTTGCGCAATAAAAGCATATCAAAATGTGGTTAAGCAGTTTAAAGGGTTAACTAACTTTTAATTGAACCACAAACTCGAATCATTTAGGCTTTTATAATATAATTTGTTTTCTTACAAGCATTTATAACAAATCCCATATAAAAGAACTATATGACCAAAGTTATGGTAAAAAATAAAATGTAAAAGGTTTGTTTGTATAAGCAAATCCCTCATATTAAATCCCTTGAACTTTACATAAAATGCTTCTACATGCAATTTTATGCAAATATATAGTTATGCTGCACGACAGGTAATTTTAGTTTATTAAAATATCTATCTACATATTTATTAATTTTAAGAAAGTAATGTGCTTGCTTGATTTCAAAGTAACTGAATTTTTAATTTAAGAATTTATAACAACGTAATTTTCCGGCGTATATGCATGATATCTCTGAGGCCTCTGATTAAAATTGCAAGAAATTTTGATTCATTGTGTTAACACTGCATCTGTATACAATGGCCAATTATTGTGTCTCTGACGTAAAAATGTTTTTCAAACTATATGGAAATTTCGACTAATTAAATTTCATTGTGTCAGTTAAAATCGTGATGATTATACATGCAATGCTATTTAAATATACAGTTATCCATAGTTACTAATTTATAAAAAATATTTTTACATTTTTCTATTAATATTAAAAAAATAATGTGCATTTATAGGATTTGTAGGCAAATTCTATCTTTAAGTTAACAGTTAAAACAAGCAAAAGTGCGTATCAGGATATTGTAATTAAGATATTATTCCAAAACTAAATACAAAACTTTTATATTTATTTATCTAAAATAAATATTTTAGATTTATGAACTGTCGTTTTGACAGTTTATAAATCTTTTGGTATGCAATGAGAGAGGTGGCAAAATTTCTGGTTACGCCACTGAATTGGAGAAGACTGCAGAAACTAATCGAGGATTGAGCTGGTTATTTGTGACTGCGTTTTGGTGAAAGATTTCTTCTAAGAAACACGAACTTTTAGTGTGTATATTACTGGCAATATATGAAATGTCAGCATTCTACAGAATCCTACGCATTTTATAGAATGCTTGGCCTTTTCGAGCAAAGTAGGAAATTAGAGAATTATTATATACTTCCCCTAGGCATTGTATATAATACCTAGGCATTCTATAGAACAGTTAATGCTATTTAAAGTACGAAGAAAGGTCACGATAAGGCTATTATTTAGAAAACATGCATTCTGAAAAATATAAATTTTTAAAAGGTAACGAAAGATTGGTATTGAAAAAACTCTTATTCAGAATGTATAAAAAATGGAAGTTGTACAAAACCAAATTTATGGCTTTCTTATTAAAGAAAAAACTGTATGAAAATGTATTAAATGTATGGATGTTCGAAATAAATCGGAGATGTATTCCATATTTTTTATTTATTTATTTACCATGTGTTCTGCCATTAGGCACTACACTGAAAGGGAGGAATTTTTCCCGTACATTATTAAAATCACAGCTTTCCGATTTCTTTCCGGCCCATCAGCGGCCGAGCGGTAAGAACGCTGAACAATGATAGTTCAGTCCGGGCTTTGAACCACACGAACGGGCTGGCTGCATGGAAGTTTTTGTGGTTTTCCTCATGTATAACGTGTATACGAGCCAGTTTTCCTTACAGAGTCCTCCACGAAGACATACCTTTCCCTTAAGCAGATAGCCCTCGAGGCTTTGCTAACCAGTTTTTTGTATTCTATAAAATGCCTACGTATTTTAAAGAATGCCAGCTTTTATACATTCCCGGTCACATATACATGAAGAAAGTCGTGGAAAATCTACGCAAGTTGGCTCGCGTCATCAGGTATACTGTTAAGATATAATTATCACTTTTCGGTAGCTTGGTCTTTTCTGCCTGAAGAAATCACCAGTTACCTCAGATGATTTATATCACAAGGAAGCGATGAATACCAGCTTTTAGTTATATTTCAAAATATATAAATTTATACTAAGGAATACTATATAGAGAAATCTAAAGGAAAAAGGATGACCCTCCTGATTTGGATAAAGTAAAAGGCATTTATGAAAGATTAGAATACGATTTCGAAACTGTGATAGCTTTTCGGGAAGGTTACGTCGTAAGCAATAAAATGTGTCTCTGCAGGTAGATTTACGAGGTCATAATACAACTTCCATCTTTTTCCTATACCACAGTGCATTGCCCTCCGACGTTTGACAGTTTAGAGTCTGCTGTAAGTTCATGAAAGCATTTCGATTTTAAAAGCCATTAACTGCTCTACTGCCCCCGTTAGAATCCCTGTTAAAACCAGAAATATTCCGGATCTGTTAATGGATACTAACACTACACTCTAAATCAATATTAATTTAGTTCTTCATAGTTCAAGATCTGAAGGGTCGCCTCTCATAAATTTGGTTAACACCATTTATCAAAGAAAAAAGTTAGAAGTAAAAACAAACATTTTTATAAAATATGCTTTTATTTAAAAATCATAAAATCATCAATGAACTAAGAGGAGAAAAATATTTTATCATAGAGTTTGATTGGAACAAGAGCTTATATAATACGTTTTACAAAATTCATCTACAATTTAATTTAAAGAATAATAAAAACGTGGGGCGCCCCTGTTAAATTTATAAAGAAAATGGCTCATACTTTTGAGAATATAATTCGATTATTTTTTTCGTTATTTAGGTACCCACGCTTTTATTATACGTGATATAAAATTATGAAAGAATTTTGTAAAGAGAATCATTCAATTTCTTGTTCCCATTAAACTACATAATTTATTTATCTCATTTTAGCTTATTAATGATTTTACGAATTTTAATTAAAAGCTAATTTTATAAACACATCTTTTTATTTTTTTCCCTCTTTTTAGTCTCAATTATATATCATCACTCAAATTATTCAATTGAAAAATAAATTTTCATGATGAATGGTTACTCTTTCACTTCCAACAACTCAGTAACGTCAAATGGTCGAAAAAAAACTCCCACCATTTTGCGAAAAAAATCAAAAATCCTGTTAAAAATTTCATACAAATTTCATTTGAAAGTTATTTTCTCCGTTCTATCCGACGAAGCAACCAATGACTTTCCGAGATATTTTGTTTGCTTGTTAAACGAAGATGCGTGCAAAAACTTATTTTAGTATTAAATTTAAAAAATCGAATTTTGAAAAACTTGCTTCATCATATGGTTATGTATAACAAACGCTATATTTTATCAAGAAGTAATTTAAATATCGATGACAAACTTTTGACTATAATTAACCGAAAACACCAAATATTCGATGAACTGCTTTCAGAAACATTGTCATCCTCCAAATCTTATGCAAAAAATTAGAATCTAGGAAAGAATAAATTGTAAACAAAATGTTAGTAAAATAAAATTGTAAGCAAAATGCTAGACTTTTCCTTTTTAAAACCTCAATAGTTAGTTCCGTCTAGTTCTGAGAAAATTTGAACGCGGCACTCTTGAAGACGCACGATAAATTCTTATAACAAGGAAATGTGTTGCAGTAATGTAGTTATCTACGCAACTGATTTACCAACCATAGACTTTAGAGTAAAACTGAATATGGCTTTACCGAAACCTAAGAAGCGACCCCTGACACTGAAGGGATATGAGAAATAAATACCTGACCTAAGATTGTGGTTCTGTCGATGCTAACAAGGGTATAAAGGAAGATTTTGCGTT